TGTAAAGTTTGTTTTTTAGCTCTACTGGTCAGAGACCAGAAGAGCTTATGCGATAGTAATGCGTCCGTCGTCCGTCCGTCTGTCTGTCCGTCTGTCTGTCTGTCTGTCTGTAAACAATTTTTCAAAATGCTACTCCTCCTACAGTTTTGGTCCGATTTCAATATAACCTGGCACACAAGTAGACTACACCAAGATACATAATTTTGTGCATCGGTTTATGATTTCGAAGAATGGTGTTGCCGTGGTTACTAAAAATAGAAATTTCTGTGAAATTCTTTCGAAATGCTACTCCTCCTACAGTTTTGGTCCGATTTCAGTATAACTTGGCACACAAGTAGACTACACTAAGATACATAATTCTGTGCATCAGTTTTTGATTTCGATGAACGGTGTTGCCGTGGTTACTAAAAATAGAAATTTCTGTGAAATTCTTTCGAAATGCTACTCCTCCCACAGTTTTGGTCCAATTTCAATATTACTTGGCACACAAGTAGACTACACTAAGATACATAATTCTGTGCATGAGTTTTTGATTTCGATTAACGGTGTTGCCATGGTTACTAAAAATAGAAATTTCTGAGAAATTCTTTTAAAATGCTACTCCTCCTACAGTTTTGGTCCGATTACAATATAATTTGGCACACAAGTAGACTATACTAAGATACATAATTCTGTGCATCGGTTTTTAGCTCTACTGGTCAGAGACCAGAAGAGCTTATGCAATAGTATGGTGTCTGTCGTCCGTCCGTCTGTCTGTCTGTAAACAATTTTTCAAAATGCTACTCCTCCTACAGTTTTGGTCCGATTTCAATGTAACTTGGCACACAAGTAGACTACACTAAGACACATAATTCTGTGCATCAGTTTCTGATTTCGATGAATGGTGTTGCCGTGGTTACTAAAAATAGAATTTTCTGTGAAATTCCTTTAAAACACTACTCCTTCTACAGTTTTGGTCTGATTTCAATTTAACTTGGCACACAAGTAGACTACACTAAGATACATTAGATAGTGCATCGGTTTTTGATTTTGATGAATGATGTCGCCATTAGTACTAAAAATAGAAATGTCCGTGAAATTCCTTTAAAACATCACTCCTTCTACAGTTTTGGTCTGATTGCAATGGCTTCTTTTCTTATCCTTTGTTATAAGTACAAACCAGTAGAGCTACAGTCTCGACAGAGACTTCTGGTTTTCTTCAAGTGTCAAAATATCTTCTTCTTTTCCTGAAATATTGACTTTTTCTTCCAAATCTAAGATTTCTTTTTCTAATTTTTTCCTCTCTAGTTTTTGTTTTTTGGACCTTATGGAAGAATATTCTATTGTTAAGGATCTGATTTTCATTTTCAAGACTTCCCAGAAAAATTGATTACTTATACTAAATTGAATACCCTCCCTTTGCTCAGTATCTCCTGATATAATATATTATGTTCTCCTTCGTTTCACTCATCCGAACATAAAATATTTCTATTCTAAGTACTTAGAAAATAAATAACAGAACACAGATGTAGTATGTTGAGCGCCTATCAACCAGTTTATTCGCATATATATGTACAATAAACACGCGACTTTAAGTAGCGATGCACTGGATGATGACCCCAAGAATATTACCAAAATTCCAAATACAATCTATCTGCAAAATACAATGAAACATGTCTTAATTATACAATATATATATATCTAAGTAATTCAAAAAAAGCGTGTTCGAAATCTGGTTGATTATTGCTCGTCGATGACCACTTTACGCCTGACCAACTTCTTATATACTATGACCAAACAACTACCCTTCAATATGCTTACGCGTATAAAATAATCCCCACATACAACTAATAGAAAATGATTTATGTTCTCCTTCGTTTCACTCATCCGAACATAAAATATTTCTATTCTAAGTACTTAGAAAATAAATAACAGAACACAGATGTAGTATGTTGAGCGCCTATCAACCAGTTCGAACACAAAGGTTGGGTATATCATTAACCTACAAAAGAAATTAAAGAATTCATAATCCAAGATTCAAAGTAACCACGAGTTTGTTATTTAAACTATCTGAAATGTAACCATCTTTAGCATTCTCCGAACGCCATCTGCCATGAGCTTTAAAAAGTCTATCTGGAATATTGTTATTAGCTGCTGCAGTTGCTCCACCACTTCTCAAACTATGTAAACCATAATCTTTAAAATCTACACACACACTTTTAAGAGCATCCAGAAGAAGCTCTCTAGCTCTAGTATAAGTCAAAGGTTTATTTGATTTACATAACTTATAAACATTGTCCTTTTTGAAAAATGTAACTGCTCTAAAAATAAAATCATTAGACTGAAAAGCAAGACCAGCTAATGATATGTATTTTTCAAGATAAGAAACAGGACAAAGTTTATTACCTGTTTTCGCTATAACAACAATATTACCTTGCCTGAAAATATCCGTTTTGCTTTTTTCAACTCTAATTTCAACATGTGAACCTGATTCATGAAACTTAATGTCACACATTCGAATATGCACAAGTTCATCATATCTTAAGAAACCTGCATAACCTAATAACAACATACATACCAATCTCGAATGATATAAATTTTCTACCTGTGGAAATTTATCCATTATTTTATCTAAAATCTCAGGTGTAATAGGTTTCTTCTTAACTACAGGTTTCGATAACAATCTCTTCCCTCCTTCTAAAATCAAATTTACAAGATTGTCTGCACATGGATTATTACAAAGATTAATATGATGTGCCCATTGAATACTATAATATGCCGCATTAATGACTGCAACTGAAGACTGCTTTTGTATAAGATAAGACAAATAAACTGCAACAGAAGATGGTGTAGCAGGTAATGCAAGAAATTTAAATTTTGTGCACCAAGACTTAAACTGTAGAAAATAGCTTCTGTATTTTTTATACGTGTTATCACTTTTACTGTGCATTACTATATCATTCATTTTGAGTACCGTGTCCTTGAGTCTAGGATCTTGAATCTTTTTAATTTCTTTCCAAGTCGAGAAACTACATGTGAGCAAGTCATTATTTGCTGGCTGTTGTTGTTGTTGCGGTTGTAGTGGAAGTTCCACTTCCTCTCTCTGGACATTTGTTGGCCCAGTGTCCAAATTTGTTACAGTAGAAACAGATGTTGCTGGCTGCTGCTCCGTTGTTACTTGTGACAGTTGAAGTTGCCTTTCTGTACCCTTGTTGAGGATATGTGAAGGGCTGATAGAACGATTGTCTTCCGTACTCTGTTCTGGGGAAACCCTGTCCAAAATCCTGCCCATATGAACGAAAAAACTGTCCCGGAAATGACTGCACTTCCTGTCCAGGATAAGCACGTGTTGTTCTGTCATAAGGCTTCTTGTTGTTGCTTCTTTTCTTTGCTCTGAAAATAGCTTGTCGAAGCTTAGTAGCATCGTCAGCGTCGTCAGTAATAGGATCATCTTCATACTCATGTACAACATCCCAACCATATTTATCCGCTATGCGAACAACTTTATTTCTTTTATTCAAATGTGTTATGGTAGAATTCAAAATTTCTTTAGCCGCTTCTATTCTGTTATTTTCCAACAGGTTTAATACTTTTCTAATGTCAGTTTCTCTTTCTGCATTGAATTCAAACTGAATTTTATTGCCTTGATATCTAAAATCAGGTACCTTTTTTTCTGTTGACCTCTGGGCTAAACTCAACTCACTGACGATTTCTTGCTTTTGCCGTCTAAGCGCCCTTTCTAATTTGTCTGTAAAAATATCCAGTGCATCTTCACTAGTGAATTCGTCTTGCGAATTTTGTGTCAAGCCAGGTCGTCCACTTTGGCCAATTTGGGGCGCAGCATGTAAAACCCGCTCCTCGTGACTAGAATTTGACTCATTCATAACAGGTAAAGCGTGTTCGAAATCTGGTTGATTATTGCTCGTCGATGACCACTTTACGCCTGACCAACTTCTTATATACTATGACCAAACAACTACCCTTCAATATGCTTACGCGTATAAAATAATCCCCACATACAACTAATAGAAAATGATTTCTTTAATTGTTTCTGAAACACATTGCTTTACTTTTTCTATAAATTCCTTTTCATGTAATAATTGACAATTAAATTTCCAATAACCTCTTCCTCTAGTACTGTCATTTGTTTTGAATTTTAATACAATTGCTGAATGATCTGTTCTATACTAATTTAGAAATTATAGAAATTATTAATGGAATTGAATCTCTGCATAAATTTGGTCTTTCATTTAGTGAAACATGTCTAATCTGACATGCACTGGGAGACTAATATATATTGTATTGGAATATACACACTAGATTATCGGATACTGCACCGTATAAGAAAACGTGTAAAATAGTAAAATGGGAAAAGAACTTTAACATCGGAATACACAGTGTGAATGGATTGCACAGGTGTCATATTAGACAGTTTTCACTGTATATCAAATAAATGTATAAGTCCGGTCCTGAAAACTTCAAGTTTAATCAACCAAATTGGGCAGTATATAAGTAGTGGTACAGGACCGTGTGAAAGTAGATACTGTTAACCAACTTTTATTTGTGTGCGAGAAATTTTTGCGAGGTTTGCAAGAGCCTGGTCATCGCGAATATTTCTCGCTGCGAAACGGTCCTCAAAGTATCTGTTTCTATTAACAACAGATCCAAAAAAGGCTTGATCGTGAAAATTTATCTTCGCGAACTACTTTACAACTGGTAAATCGCGAAATAAAGTCGTCGCGAATAAAAGTTGGCTTACAGTAAGTGGATGGAAGTTGTATTGATATATGTTACTGATTATTTTTCGTACATACTTTTTAACTAATCTTGTTCCTATGATTTAATAATACAGTTTAATACATTCCTAAAGAAGAAGCCTTAATTATTCGATTTGTAGCCATTTAATTTTAAAATTGTTGTTTGATTCAAGCCTCATAATCCCTCATGATAATAAGTTTGATATTGTATCTTATGCCCTTATTATCTTCATATATTCAGTGCTAATAATGCTCCTCCTATAGTCAGGTGGGGACCTTCAGAATGCTGAGACCCTGGCTGATGGACTGACAAAGCTTGTGTTTACAGCCAGCAGAATACCTGTATCTCCAGACAGAAGAGAAACTTTTCAGAAGATTTCAGGTCAGTATTACATTTTTCCTCACACAGTTGTTGCATTTAATGATAATATTTGAAAACATTGAAAAAGGTTCATATAGATTGAAAATCTTTGACTTTCACATCTTGGTACGTTTGTGTATTAATTAAAATCTCTTTGTGACTCTTTTTTTGAGTGCCACGTTTTTTGAGGGAGTGGAGATTACAAACAGGTCTTATAGAGAAACACACTCTGTATATTTCAAACAATTTAAGGTCTGCTGGATACCTCTGTATATATTATAGCTGCAGAACTCTATCTCTCTGGTTGAGAAAATTTGGATAGACAAACCAGAGAGCAACAGATCCAAGCATTGTAAAAACCTTCGATTTATGGCAACATTGTTTTTTTTTGTATAATTCTTGTGTGCCTGCTTAAAAATCCATTAATTTACTATAAATTTGACTCCTATTCGATCCTGATACTTTATTCCATTTTAGGTGCAATATTCTAGTTTATAGCAAACCCCCAACATTGGCTTCAGACTTATTGTTAAAGTTGATATACCAAGGTCATATAAGGCAGTTTAGAATCATCGAAAGCTAAATAAAGAATCAAGAATAGAAGTAAAATTTTATACGGTTATATTATATCACTGCGTTCATGGGTGCAGTATATCAGGTCTCATTAGCTTGGTTGGTAAGAGCACTGGCACAATATGCCAGAGGCCCTGGGTTTGAGCCCAGGTTGAGGCTTGATTTTTCACCTTCTGTGACATTTAGATCTGATCAATTGTTGATGATATATTAATTATACTGTATCACACAGTTAAATATTGTTTTCTTTATTTTTGCAGTGATATGGGAAGATTTCATGTACGTCATCACAGTATCTAACCACAAAATATACATCTGCAAGAGGCCTTATTCTCCACAAGATCCAGCTATTGCTTAATTTATTTGTTATCTTATGTACATTTGTTTTCCATGGATGAACAATGCCATGTAGGGACAAATATATAACTATGGATAGATTTTGTGAGTGCTGAGGAGAATCTGTGGTGCAATTGATGCCTCAAGTGGCAATATATTCAAACATATGAGGGTGCTGGCACAGAAGGACATCTTAAGATATTTATAGTTGAACCTACATTAATATTTTAAATTTTTTTTAAAACAAAACTTCACTCAGAAATGTTATTTCTTTGAGTATATGATGCATGTATTTTTTTCTTTTTAAAAGTATTACACTCCCTGTACTGTCACTTTTATACTTATGATAAATAAATTTTTCTTACCTACCTTGAAAGATAAAAATGGTGACTAGCTAGAGTTAAAAAAAAATCAAACAAATTGTGTAGACTGTTATAATATTCTACTGTTGTCCAAAATTCAATCAAGTAAATGGAATGTCAGATGCAGTAAATATATGTGAAACTTTGATTTAGTTCATTTCTAGTACAAACAATTCTTGATAGGCATTCAGTAAGAAATCATTCTAGTATCCATATACATGTACAGTGAATCAACATAATTAGGGGTTCTGAGTGTGCTTTTGGATGTGGGACTCCTGAAAAACTTCAGTTTTTGAAATGACAACAACTTCTCAGAAAAATTACAAATCCTGATTTTCTTATCTCTCATCCATATGCCTTTTGGTGAGAAACAATCTGCAACATGTACATTGAGATGTCAGTTGTTTACTGAGAAGGAGAAAATGAGAGAAACTGCTCCCCAAATCCCAAATAAAGTTTGTTAGGGGTTCCATGGTAATGAGTGGACTCGATCAGGACCTGATGATTTTGTGAGAATGTGTACAGTGTAGTTGAAAGATTTCATCTGTCAAATATTATGTGACTGTGTAATATAATCATGTGACATTTCATAAAACATATCAAATTATCACATTGAATCATATGTCAAGAAAAAGAGGGGCATATATTTAATAAATGAAATAAGACATTTTTTAAATTTTGTATGCTTGTTTATTATTGATATGAAATAAAATTGAACGAACAATCCTTAAAAAGAAAAATATCTGTAAACTACAAGAACTGATAGTTTAAAAAATTAAAAACCAAAAAAAAATAAACCCTGATTACTACTAAGAGTCCACATTAAATGGAAAGCTGCAACTTCATCTGTACTGCAAGCATTTGAGTTAATGTTATATAATGCCATAAAAAAGAAAGCCTTGTTCAAGATTAGTGGAATTGATATTAATAGTGTACTCCTAGGTATCTGAGTACATTCAAAATGATGGACTTGAACGATGTGTAAAAATGCACACATTCACATAATGGATAAATGCAAATTTTTTGTCATTTGAGATTCTGAGGATGGCCAACAGAAAATATGTTAAGAAAAAATATTCTATTAAATGCCTGAGAATTTATACATGTGTTTTCAAAGAAAATTCTATAATATAAATTAATGCAAATAAAACAAACAGAAAAAAGCAATCATTGCACCAAAGCTAGATATGTTTGGAAAAAATATAAAAATCTTAAGAGGTAATCATTTGTGCATATAAGTATTAGGATGACAATATCATGTTCTTGTACATGTAAATGGCAGATCTGAAGTACTAATTTTTGAAGTAGATGATCTTGAAGTAAATGTAAACACTATTCTATAATTATTGCGTTAAAATCTTCTTAAAATCATACAAAATATTTGGAGGCATGCATATTGAGTCATAACTGTATACAACAAATGGAAAACCACTTTTGATTGTTGTTAAACTGTATCTTGCATTCTTGATTGAAAAGGCTGAGCTTGTTTAGTTTTCACATTTTAACACAGAGTGAGTTTTGGTATGTGTACAGAAAAGAAATTTTACCGGAATTTACACACCCTTTTATTCACTATTGAAATATACATTTGTCAAAGGTTAAAAGATAGCAATGACACAATGATAGCATTTTGTACGGCAAAAAACACTACCTCACTTTAAAACATGATTTTTGTTTCAAACTTATTTGAATAAATACTAACTTTTAACTATTAGCTACCAGCAATAACAACCACACATACAGTGTATAATTATTTAGGTATTAATTAATAAGATTTAACAATTGATCTTAAATGCACACTTTAAAAACAACACAGTAAACAAGAAAACGGTGTACAATGTGTCTCACTATCACAGAGTAAAAAATTGCCTCACTTTAAAAATTTTTATTCAAACTATTTCAATATATAACACTTAGGACTTTTAACTATCATATTACAATCAATAACAACCACACATACATAGTATAATTTTATAGTTATTATTTTTTTAACAAATCATAAATATTAAATACACATATAAACAAAAACAAAAACAAGAAAAAAAAAACACTATCACAATAAAAAAATCTTGACCGTTTTTATTCAAACTATAACTTCATAAATAACACTTAGGATCCAAAAGTAATAAAAGTTTAGCTAAGCAATTGCAAGACAGAAAAATCATGGATTATAACAACAGTCAGGATAGTTAAGTCACCTTTGCTATCTAAACAAAAAACCTTTATTACAATGGAGAATTTTGTTTTACTTTCAAAGTAATATATACATCAGGCAATTGTGAAAATAAAAATCATGGATTATAACAAATAAGGATAGTTAAATCCTGATCAAAATGTATTAAATGAACATTCTAATTTTTGATAAGCTTCTCCATGTTTTAAGTTATCTTGTTCAAAGAATATATATGGCAACCTTAAAGTTGAAATGCAAATAATAAAATATGAAGATAAACAATAACAGGGTTAAAATGCAAGCTCCTACTCTAAATGTAAAGCAAAACCACAATAATAAATTAAAACAACAATAAAAATTGGGATAAAATTCTAAGTAATATAAACTTGGTCACCACATTCTCATGTAGGACAGGGGAAATAACTCGACTTGATGGGCAGTACTTGAATAATCTTCTCTGATGACTAAAATAAAACCCAAATAAATCATTGTTCAGATCATTCTATGGTAGTTAGCTTTACAAGTCGCATTACTATGGCTATAAGATCTCCAGCTCTTTTTTGACCAATGGCAAGAACTTCTTCGTGAGTGGTGTTCTCTATAGAATCGTAACTTAAGCAGCATTTATCTGTAATTAGGGAGAGACCGAACACCTTCAGGCCCATGTGTCTGGCTACAATGGCCTCAGCAACAGTACTCATACCTGTAAAAAATAAGATTTTTACATATACACACCTGTTAAAATTTTCTATGATACTGTAGAAACACAAATTTTCATGGGGATCCCCCCTCGTTGATTAGACACACAAACACATATAAATATATTGTTGCGAGGACAGTATATAGCCATATGAAAATTTTTGTTAGATTGATTTGATTTCATTGATAATTGTTAACAATGAAATAAACCCAGGCTGATATCCATAATCCACACAAACCAAACCACCGGTACTTTACATATAAAATCACATGTAATCATTCCCCCTACCATTCTCTCTATAAATATACATTGTCAAATACATATAAATATATGCATGATGGACAGGAAAAATTCACATATAGAGAATATAGTATATTTAATTGTTTGAGTTTTAAAGATATATCCACAAAACAAACAATACTTTAATTACATATAAACTCACATATAATCCATACAACAAGAGTGTATTATTGATTAACATTTAAAACTAGGTGAAAGTATTTTAATTTTATGACTAGCATTCTAATTATAGAAGGTAAAAACTTTACAAAAAAGTAGGGCTGCTCACCTACTGCATCCCCACCAAAGCCTTTTAGTAACCTTGACTCAGCCACTGTTTCAAAGGTTGGTCCCCCGATCATTACGTAGGTTCCTTCCCTCATGTATTTACTGAGGCCAAGGTCCTCAAAAACTTGTTTACAGGTAGAGCGAAGGCCTGCATCATAAGTATTCACTGTTGCTAAGAAACGTGGCCCAAATCTGGAAAATAAATGTATTAGTAAGATAGGAGACAATTATATTATGAATATTTATGATAAATACAAGATCACTTCTCAAAATTATATTCATCATAAAGGGAGCAGGGATTAGTTTAGTTTGAATTGGTCACGGGATAACTCATAAATATTCATGGATTAATTCCATACAACAGAACTCGTTGTTTAAGGAAATGACTGAATTGGCAAGAGATGTAAGCTTTAAACATTGATCTTGAGTATCTAGGACAAAATCAATGTGATTCAATGTCTTGGTAATACCTTTCATCATTATATCCCCGTAGCACACACTCCCCAGTTAGGCCAGGCATATCTATGTGATCCCGGATAATCATCATGTCGCCTACACTGTAGTCAGGATTGATGCCCCCTGCAGCATTGGTAAGAAACACAGTAGTTACTCCAAGAGCCTTCATAACTCGAATTGGAATTGTAGTCTGAAGGAAAAAATCATTAATTTGTATTGCGCACATTTTTTATCTCATCAAATTACAATGTTAATGGGTGTTACATGTAGTTAAAGGCAAAATAATAAAATACATAAAAATGCAATATACAATGTGACCAATCTTGTGTTGGCAGATAAAATTATTGATTAACTTAGTGATTGTGAACAAAATTATTGTGCTTTTTTCTGGAAATAGAGCTAGAGAGCTAGAATTTATTCTATTGATTATTATCAACTTTTTATCATTAAATTGGTATAAAGCCCAGAAGAGATGTGTGAATGATTTGATGTATTACGCATCATCTTTATGGAAGATTTCTGGCCAGCCATCAAAAAATGGACAGCCTTTCAATCATTTTCAAGGCTACATCTCAACTCAAAAGGGAAAGCGTATTGATTAAAACTGATTGTGAATGAGGATTCCAAAAGTGCCCCCTTTCAATTTTTCTTGAATACCACAGACATGGAGTGAGGTGGAATTCCCTCTCTTCTTTTTTATTTAACATGCTATCTCAACCCTCAGATATTTTTCAGTGTTTTTTGTTCCCCCTGAGTTTGAGATGACAATTTACCTTCCACATTGGATAGCCTTCATAGCAGTGGAGACGGCCTCTCATTAAGACCACTGGTTTTCCCTCTAAGTTACCAAACACCAACTTTCCCATGTGACCAGGTACTGCAATAAAAAAAATGTACATATATGATAAAGTGCTTTTGTAATTCTTGTAACACAGGGAAAGGTTGGCTCTGCCATTTTCAAAATCACAATGATATTTTTGCATGTACATGTATGTCCTATTAAATGCTGGTAAATATTTTTACAAATCTTACGATTTTTTCTTGTGGTTTTTGAGTAGATGTATACTCACTTTAAGATACATGTATTTGACTGGAAATGTGTGAATTTTTTGTGCAGTCATTATAATCAGAATTTTTTGTTGCACTAAAAAAAACCTGAATCAAAATTTCTAATAAATTATTTCAACCCAGAGGTTTTCCTTGCTTGCTTTAGATTCTTATTACGGAAACCATTACAATTTCAAAATGTGTTTTCATACTTACCTATATATTCTTAGTTATTACCCTTGACCCAGTCTAAAAATAGTAGGAAAACCCTTGGACAAGCTATGACCTACTACTGCATGACCTTGACCTACCTGTACTGACCGGGAAGGTAGGTATTTCACTGTACGGGATGATGTCAGCATCTTGGACTTTATCTGCCAGGTCCCCCAGACCTGACCCACACACAATGCCTATCTTTGGTTGATGTTTGGTCCTGTTTTGTATAGACTGAGCTATAGATGTAACCTCCTCAAAGCTTGGACTGTCAAAATATGAATAAAAAAACATTTACCTGCATTCAAAGATATATTTTGAAACAAATAATGTACTGTTTTTAAACATTATGATATAGAAACTGTATGATCATATGATCAAAACCATAATACATTTTGCAACTGGTACTTTTTATTTGAAATATCTACATTTGTAATATTTATCTTCATTTTTTTTACTAAAGGGTAACCATGCAAATTACATTGTTTGTAATGAAATTTAGGACAAAATGTATACTACTTCACAGTGGGGTTTGATTCTTTATATATTTATTTATTTATTTATTTTTGTGATAATTTCTTAATTTTGGCTTATTTCTTAGTTAATTCTTGACTGCAATACTTAGTAAGAATCAGTAATAAAAACCTTTTTTGTTTTTCTGTGGTTGAGAGTGAATTTGTGAATTGTGCAGACAGTGCACCCATCATAAATATTAACAAGCTTTCATATATGTTCTTTAAATGATTCATTTATTTATCTCACAGTATAGGTAAAGAATAAATCCCTGATGAGTAATCAAGATGAGTAAAATTCCTCTAGCTTGTACAGAAATGATTGATTACAATAAATTTCATTGTCATCTATATTTTGTTAACTTTTTTAACAATTCAGTAGCAGTCATACAGCTGAAGGGAAGTTCACAATCCCTCTTTCCTTTAAAGTTACTTGCATCAAAGTGTATGCACTAATATGCAATACAAATCTAAGTTTTTGTATTCTAGAATTTTAAATATGTCATAAAGAATGGATGAGTCAGATGACTAACATTTAACATTTTTCTTTTCTTTTTCTTAATAAACTGAGTGATGGATGTTAGTACCAAAGGCATTTACACTGAGGGTATAATGTAAGGTGTAGTCACTGTATTGTTATTTCAAAACTCATAGTCCATGTGATTGATTTGTGTATCCCATTCAACATTTTAAGAAGTTTTAAATATGGGTGGGGGTGATGACAAGTTAGACTGTGGGAGGGGACCTATGGGATTTAGATAAATGTGAAGATGGCTTTATGGTAATAAAAACAGCATGTTAAATAATTGGTTTTTGGGAAAATGCATTTTCCTTCACATTTTATCACTCTAATCAGTAATCTTAAAACAAAAATAAGGTAGACTAAGGGTAGATACACTATATTGATGCAACAGACTCTAGAACATAGGGAATCCAAAATAAAATTAACTTTATTATTCAAATCATAAATTAATATAATAAGGGATGGCATGAAGAGTCTTGCATTCAAATTTTAAATTTGATGATAAATTTTTTATCTACTTACTAATCAACAACACTGTAAAATGGCATATTTTCGTAAATTTGATATTTTTTTAATGCTACTATGAATATAAAGACAATAAGTCCTGTCACTGTAATTGCAGTACATATACTCTTCTACAACTTTAAGGCAAATTAATAACGTTTAGCAAAGTGACGTCACAATTTTTAAAAAACAATTGCATTTACGTCATATTTTACCAAAATATATCATTTTGCCCACAGGAACTTGAGACAGTCTTAGCAATTAAAATTGGGTATATAGTATAATACCCAATTTTGCTACGACTGTCTCAAGTCCCTGTGATTTTTGCCCTGAAAAAGAGAAGTACTGCAGTTATCTAGAAAGGGTCTTATACTCTTAATTTTTTTTAGTTCAGTAATTTTATACAAAACTTATAAGTCTATGGATTCTTAATTTATCTGTCTTTAATTTCACTTATGAACACACAAGTTATTTACTAATTCAGTGTCTTAAATAGCCATACATAAATACCCATGAAGCAATAGATAAAAATGCTGATATCCCCCCTTTCCTCATTCACTTTTAGCAAACTTTATATACATACCCAACAGAATTTTCCTGTCCTTTGGACATAAATTTATCAATCAAACTTTGCAGCATAGACTTCTTATTAGACAGAAATTTTGTCACACTAAATGATGTATCCGACATTGTACTAGCTTGGCTCTCTCTCTTCTTCTAATAAGGTCAAATTATGAATGAATGGTCAGCTGATCCGAGCATTACTTATACTAATTAATTCAAAGCGACGCCTTCCCAAGTCGATATTATTGTGCAATGAATGTTGTACAATGACAAATACATACCCATCCCCCATGGCTTTAGATTTATTGATTTCTGGGAAAATCCCTAGCCGCTCCTTGTCTGTTGTCAGCCTAAAAAACTACAAAAAGCCAAAAATGTAAACTAAAAAGGATATCGAACCCGATCACAAAAAATTCTGTTCAACGTCGAATCAAAAGCCCGAGCTCATTAGTTAAAAAAAAAATAAAATGTTCGTGTTATAACGCTGCTTATCACAGGGACAATTCACAAGCACCTGACATTACCTATTTTTCTTTAAATAAAAAAAATATATCCCTACCTATACGATAAACGTTGATTCATAGGTATAAGGGTATATTTTTTTATTAAAAGAAAAATAGTTAACGTCAGGTGCCCGGGAGACAATTTGCCTACTGTGTTATCTATCAGAAATGCTTACATGTACACGCGAAATGAAGGAGGAAATAAGTATCATATCAACTTGAAAAGAAAGTGTTCACCGAACTTCAATTTCTTCAATACAACCATTACCTATTTTGACGAAGGGAGAAGCCAGGTCATAACGACAAAAAGTAACTAAATAAATAAATAATCAAAATTAAATTGACAAAATAACTTTACTTTCCGACATTTTCTACATTATAGTACAAAAGCCCAGTGGGTTCATTTTAATTTCTTAGGTTAAAAAACATTTTTCAAAGTGCGTAAATAGTGCATATATCAACATTTTTTTTTTACCATAGGGACATTTAGCGCACTTTGAAAAAAATATGTATAAAACAAAAATTCTAGTATACTTAGATTTTAGTAATTGAGAGAATCAATTTGTAATGTACGGAAGCGTATTAGTGCCACTTGCACACTTTACTTTTTTTTAATTTCGACACTTTAATCTGTAAATTTTACACTTTAAAGTGTAAATTTTACACTTTAATCTGTAAATTTTACACTTTAATCTGTAAATTTTAAACTTTAATCTGTAAAATTTACACTTAAATCTGTAAATTTTACACTTTAATCTGTAAATTTTACACTTTAATCTGTGTAAATTTTACACTTTAAAGTTTAAAGTGTAAATTTTACACTTTAAAGTGTAAATTTTACAGATTAAAGTGTAAATTTTACAGATTAAAGTGTAAATTTTACACTTTAAAGTGTAAAATTTACAGATTAAAGTGTAAATTTTACAGATTAATATATAAATTTTACAGATTAAAGTGGTAAATTTACAGATTAAAGTGTAAAATTTACACTTTAAAGTGCAAAATTTACAGATTAAAGTGTAAAATTTACAGATTAAAGTGTAAATTTTACAGATTAAAGTGTAAATTTTACACTTTAAAGTGTAAAATTTACAGATTAAAGTGTAAATTTTACAGATTAAAGTTTAAAATTTACAGATTAATGTGTAAATTTTACAGATTAAAGTGTAGAAATTAAAAAAAAGTGAAGTGTCCAAGTGGCACTAATACGCTTCCGTAGTAATGATTATATCTTTTGAAAAATACCCTATGTATTTTTCAATAATTCAAAACATCTTATTATACTGGATAGGTTGCAATCAAGTCCAGAATCTTCCCTGTTACATAAAGCATATACAGAAAATATTAACCTTAGTCAAGGCAATATTAACTGCTGACCAGTACAAAAATGTAATTTATTTCAGTAAGAAAGATAATCTCTCATTACCAGAATGTAAAACATACAAAAACACATTTTTTAAAAAGCAAGTCAAGAAACATTTGAAAAAACACTTCCTACAATATTGGAAAATGAAACGTGAAGAGGGACTTGACTCTGGAAAACTTACTACTTATTTTATGTTTAAAGAAAATTTTACAATGGAAAACTATATGTACATCAAATCTCATGAAATAAGAAAATCCACATGCAGATTTAGAATAAGTGCTCATGACCTAAGAATTGAAAAAGGCAGATATGAATCTGTAAAAAATAATGCTGGTCAAAGAATTCCCTCAGATAAAATATGTTTAATGTGTAACCAAAACTAAATACCCTTATATCATTTTCTTACTGAATGCCCATTGCATACTGAGGAGAGAGATAAATTTTTTCGTGATATCTCATTATACTTAACAAAAATTTCATATTATTATCAAAAGCAGACAAATTTCTCTGGTTAATGTCTAATGAAGACAATCTAATTATTACAAAACTAAGTCAATATCTTATCAAAGCCTTCAAAATAAGGCATAATGCCATGAGTCCCCATAAATGATGTTATTGACACATATCTATTTGTATACTAGTATATATATGTATATTGATAATATTGATTTTGATTGCATGTTAATTAGCGATTTGATAACCCCAACTGCTGCATCTACATGTACAGTTACTTGTATATATTATATCAGATATACATATGTGTGTGTTTATGTTTGTGTATGTTTACTAACCTTTCTTTCAGAACTTTCTATCTTGTCATTGTAAAAAGAACCTTTATGCCTTCTGGGCCCAAAATTGGAAAAAAAAATTATCTTATCTTATCATATCTTATCGTTATCTATCTTTTGAAAAACTTTTTAATTTACATGCATTGATTTAACCTCACTGAGGAAAAGGAGAAGACGAGTAGAAGATCTTTTAACTCTTTTTTCCGTTTACATAGCCGTCGGTAGCAAATTGAAAGTGTCTATGCCTATATTATGCATATCTTTGCAAAACATTTGTGTGCTTAACCCCCCCCCCCCCCTCCCGGTACCGATGCCTATATGCTACACCCAATTATATGTATTAGCATAACTGGTATGACGTTGAAAACTTTCAATAAAATTTAGTTTACATAAAATGCATGCTTGAAATAAGAAAGCCTATCATACGAAAGCCCATAAGGATCAATCAAGCGAGAATTTAAAAAAAAAAAAAACAAAAAAAAAAAAAAAACGTTAAAACGCCTTTCGAAAAAGCGTAATAACGCGAAAAAAGGCGTTAAAATAAAAAGGCATAATAACGCCTTTTGGAATGGAAAGGCGTAGTAACGCGCCTTTTTTCGCTTTATTACGCCTTTTCTTTCGTACGAAATATAAGGATCAATATAGAGAGAAAAAATTTTAAAAGGCGTTTAAACGCCTTTCAAAAAGGCGTAATCCCAAAAAGCGTTATTACGCCTTTTTAAAAACGTTATAACGCCTTTTAAAAAGGCGCAATAACGCGTTTTGGAATGGAAAGGCGTAATAACGCCCTTTTTCGCGTTATTACGCCTTTTTGAAAGGCGCTTTAACGCATTTTAATTTTTTTTTTCTTTTTCCACTATCGTTGATGTCCTTGGCATACTATACTAACTAGACAGTGATTCCTTATATTTTTATTTCATTGTAAAATAAAATTGCAGATTTAGACTTTAAAAATGTAGACAAAGATTTAAATTACACGAGGACTCCCATGTCAATTTCAATCGTCCTCGCCCACTGTCGTCAAAAACAAAGGTAGCCGCACGAGATTTACATGCATTTTTTGGCCTCCTTAGCATCAGACACAGAGACAGATGCGCACGAGATTTGCATGCATTTTAGGCCTCCTTAACTCCTGACCTATCGACCTGCCTAATTTACATTCCGGTAGAATTTTCAAGAAACTTTCAAAGAGTTATTACGGAGAAAAAAATTAGAAATGGAAATATATGGTCGATATAAAAGCACTTTCAATTTTTAGGTCACCTGAGTAAACTCAGGTGACCTATTGATATCCGTTTTTGTCCGTCTGCGTGCGTCGTGTGTCGTCCGTCGTGTGTTAACATTTGAACATTTTCAACTTCCACTCTGCAACGGCTGAAACAATTTTAAACAATTCTGACACAAAGCATCTATGGGTGAAGCGGAAAAAAAATTGTGAATTTCATGATCCCTACCCCCCTGGGGCCTGAGGGGTGGGACCAATACCACTAAAATTAATGCAATCTTAAAGAATCTTTTTCATTACTCCAGGACATCATTAAGCTGTCAGACTGTTGGCATGATTGTAATCAGTATTGAGCCCTCTACCAAAATTGTGAAATTCATGGCCCCAGGGTAAGGGGTTCTAGCGCTAGGGCGGTGCTATATGGATTAGTGTATAGTGAAAAATGCATTACGCCTTTGAAAATCTTCTTCTATACTCCTGGGCATTAAATAAAGTAACCAAGTACAAAGTTATGTTGAATGAAGCTGACTCTTCCAAAATTGTGAATTTATGGCCCCAGGGTCAGGGGTTCTGGTGTTAGGGTGGGGCTCTATTGTCTATATAGTGAAAATGCATAAATTCTTTGAAAATATTCTGCTCTGCTCCTGGATATTAAATGAATTAACCAAGTACATAGTTATAATAAGCAGGGATGTCGCTTCCAAAATTGTGAATTTCATGGCCTCTGGGTCAGGGATTTAGGTGTTAGGGGGGCTCTATTGATTGTATAGTGAAATTGCATGAATTCTTTGAAAATCTTTTCCTTTGCTCCTGGGAATTATGCCAATGATCTAAGTTTATAATATTTATGATGAAGAAAGGTGCCTCTTTCAAAATGGTTAATTTCATGGTCCCTGGCTCAGGGACTGGGGGAGGTTAGGGGGTTAGTCTGAAAATAAATTAATGCTTTGAAATCTGCTCTTTCGTATTAATCAACCATTTATGATGAAATAATGATAAAATTTCCTAAATTTTGAAATACATGTATGTGGCCCCAGGATCAGTGATTCCTGTGGGGTTGAATGGACAACTCTATAGAGTGGAAATACAGTTTTCTTTCTATACCTCTGTGTATTAAGTAACCAAAGTAAGCATGTTAAGCACATAATTATGATAAGCAATAGTGCCTCTTTCAAAATTGTGAATTTCATGGCTTTTGGTTTTTTAAAAACACGAACTAAATTCAATTCATTTGTTGGAAAGTTGTTACATGATACTTAGGTGATCTATAAGGCCCGTGGGTCTCTTGATGTTTTTTTTTTCTTTTTTTTCAAAGTGCGTTGATTTGGTCCCACATTTAACGCACTTTGAAAAAATTTCAAAGTGCGTAATTTTTTAAAGTGCGTTGTAACACTTGTGCGAGTATAGTTTCTTGATTCTCATGCATCACTTTAGTTCTAGTCGTCTGTGTGTTCATATGACCATTCACTGTACCTTTGTATTTATAGATAAATCCTTTGTATGATGGTCCTAACAGTAAACTTGATGTCTGGGTAATGGCAACAGAACAAAAAACTTTGACCTGTTAACTGGCCTAATATTGTATTCTTTTCTTATCTGTAAACCTTCCTCCTGCATTTTTAGCTAGCATATGTAACATATCGCCAATGCACATTTCCCCCGAAGAATGAACTGCTTCTACTCTGCATAGTGCACAAGTTATCTCAACACTATACCCAGAGATGTTTTTGAAAGGCAAGCGTAGCAATGATTTTTTTCGTGAGACCTGCATGCAGTATCGAGTTTACAACACGAAGTCTGTCATTCTATATTTTCCTGAGTTATCCTGATCATGGCTATGAATTCATTAGTCATAAATATTAGTATCAGTTGAGTAAAATAGAAATATAAGTATAGGTTTTCGCAATTGTTGTAATTTTTTTTTTTTTTTTACGAATTTAGGGGTGCCCCTAAACATGACAAATAAAATCTTGTTTTAAAGTATTCCTTAGATAAAAATCTATCAAAATAACATAATTTAATGTAGTCTTTTAGCATGTTTAGAGACAGACCTGCCCCGAAGGACCTGCAGATGAGTAGGATAAAACGTACGCTCAACTCTAAGGACCTTACAAAATTCACCCACTTGGTTTATACGGTCTCTTCCGAAGGACCGGTCTACACATACCACAGTGGCATTTGAACCCGCGACGTAAGGAGCAACTCCTTACTTCGCGACTCTAGAGCAGACGCAATCTCTACCCAGAGTTATCGTTCCACTTATACCTCTGTCAACGTCTAAAAAGTAGTACGGAAGCGGAGGGACGTGATTTATTTGTTTAAAATTGTCCACAAGAAGATTAACACATTTACTTGTCTATATATGTCTTAATGCTGCAAGTTGTTTGTCTGTAAAAACTAAATCATGTTGATATTTATCGGCAATGCATTTTAAGTTTTCCACGTTTGTAATATCCTGCCGAGAAATAATCCCCTACAGGATATGGTGAAAAAGCGATATCTGATTCTAATTCTCATAAATTAACTTTTATTTAACATGTTAAAGTAGAGTATAGAAGTTTTACATTCATATTTTATGATGCAATTGGTGAAAGTAAGTTTTGCCAAGAATCTTGGCATTTAGACGTTGACAGAGGTGTTGTAGCGAAGCGAACGACAACTCTGGGTAGAGATTGGAGCAGACGCTCTAACCAGTGCGCCACGCGGGCGATTCGAAGGGGGAGAAGCGCCTTTTAAACGCAACGCACAGTTAGCAGCAATTCCTCTAATCTATAAAAATGCGATCACACAAAATTTGAGATAATGTAAGACTAACTCTAGATCATTTAAGTCTTTCAAAAAAGATGCAAACCTCTTGATTTTTTCTTTACTGTCAATTGGACTCAATTGAAATAAATGCAACGCGTGCGACGATATCGTAAAAAATTTCAAGCACCTTTCGATGGGCCTCATACCACCTTGACAACATTTGACCTTGGCATTGCCGATCGGTTGTACACACGAGAGAGCCATGGCTTCAGTATTTGGGGACATCGAGATCGCACCACCGATCGAAGTGTTCAACTTGACAGCTCAATACAACGAAGACAGCCACCCAAACAAGGTTAATCTCGGGGTTGGAGGTAAGTTAAAAGTGAAAGTAGGGGGGATTTGCAATCGGCATGGATTCCACAATGACGGGCAAGGTTGGGTTAACCTATGAAGCAGCATGTACTATTATGCAGAGAAAACTCAAGTTAATAAACGTGAATAGAAATATTTATACTTTGCAAATCCCCATAACGATTCAGGCCTAAGAAGTCTTAAAGTTGTTTTTTTTATACATGTGTATATTATTTTCAAGATAAAGTAGCCCCAAAAATTCTGTGATGTGCAACTGACATTGACATGCAGCTGATATATGTGTGGACATTTTTGAGGGCTGACACATTCTTTATCGTGACAGTTACATAAAGTTTCTCATGGTCGTAAATTAAACTTTACATCATAATGGATAAGTATAATTTTTAAATTTATTGTAAATATTAAACATTCAAATACACAAAATATTTTTTTTCCTGTAAAAACAGTCTTAGACTAGATCATATGATCTTGAACTTAAATTTCTATATACTGCTAGAAATTATACATTTTCTCATTGGTCATAAACATAATGTAATAAAAAAGCAACACAAGAGTTAGGGGCACCTGTTACAGCATTAGCTAGGGAACCAAGCATTGTGGGTCTTGCCACACCATCCTTACATGTCATTTTAGTTTATGTATTTACTCAAACCTTAGAACATTGTACAATAAGAACGATAACTCATATCTTATTTAAAATATATATATATATATTTTTAAAAAATCACAAACATGCAAAAATGAGGCCTTTCATGCAATGAAAAGACCTATATTTTCAATTTAAAAAAAATAATAAATTACTTTTCGTTTTTATTTACCTCAATATGTACATGTAATAAATTTTCTTGCAGCTTACAGGACAGATGAGGGTAAGCCATGGGTACTACCGGTGGTGCGTACCGTGGAGGCCCAGATGGCTACAGACCCCACCCTGAACCACGAGTACCTCCCTGTGGCGGGGATGCCAGATTTCAGGGCAGCTGCCCTTAAACTACTCCTGGGAGAAGACTCTCCAGCACTCAGTGAAAACAGGGTGTGTTCAATATTCATCTGTAACAGGCAATATCAAATGTTTGCCCATGTAGCTCATAACCTGACCGAAGGCTCCAGGAGCTTTTAATCAAAGGTCTGTTATCTGTCGTTGTTGTCATCGTTAACTTTTCAAATTTTCATCTTCTCAAGAACCATTGGGCCAATTTCAACCAAACTTGCCACAAAGTATCCTTGGGTGAAGGGGATCCAAGTTTGTTCAAATGAAGGGCCGAGCCCTCTTCAAAGGGGAGATAATTATGAATTAATGAAAAATTAGTGGCATCTTTTAATAATTCTTCTTCTTATGATACCATTACAGGAAAGATGAAACTCATGTGGAAGCATCCTTAGGTAGTGTAGATACAAGTTTGTTCAAATCATGATTCCCAAGTGTAGGGCGGGGCCACTATGGCGGATCAAAGTTTTACATTGGAATATATAGGAAAAATCTTCTTCTCAAGAACCACTGGGCCAGGAAAGATGAAACTCATGTGACTCATGGCTGATCAAAGTTTTACATAGGAATATATAGGAAAATTCTTTAAGAATTTTTTTTTCTCAAAAACCATTTGGCCAGTAAAGATGAAACTAATGTTGAAGCTTCCTCAATTAGTGTAGATTCAAATTTGTTCAAATCATGACCCCCTGGGGTAGGGCGGGGCCACAATCAATGGCTGATCAAAGTTTTACACAGGAATATATAGGACATTTTTTAAAAATCTTCTCCAGAACCACTGGGCCAGGAAAGCTGAAACTCATGTGGAAGCATCCTCAGGTTGTGTAGATTGAAGTATCTTCAAATCATGACCCCCGGGGATAGGGTGGGGCCACAATGGCTGATCAAAGTTTTACATAGGAATACATGGGAAAAATCTTTAAGAATTTTTTTTTCCATAACTATTTGGCCAGTAAAGATGAAACTAATATTGAGGCATCCTCAGTCTAAATCATTATATAGTGTAGAAACAAAGTAATTGTTTATTATATGATCCAATGATTAAAGAAAAAAATGGCAAACCTCAAAGTTTTACATAGGAATACATATACCTAGGTAAAATCTTTTAAAAATCTTTTTCTCAAGATCGGTAAAGCTATGAATGGTGATATTTATATGGAAACATCCTCAGTTATAGTTAATTCAAGTTTGTTCATATCAGGACACCTGGGGGTAAGGTGGGGCCTTGTTCCAGCAAATCTTTTATAGAAATATATAGGAAAAATCTTTAGTTCTCCTTTCAAGCATGGCAAAATTATATGTGTATGTTTTAAAGATATAGTGATATTCTCAATGTAATAAAAAATGCAAATCCCCCCTCCCCCAACAAGTAAACTTTTCAATACTGAAGTAAAAATTGTGTCTTTTAACTAGCCATGTAATAAGGTGTCAAATGAAAATGTGGCAAAACCATGGGCCTAATATGTTATTGTTTATTATCAATGTCCTAACATAATTGTTTATTAAAACTTTAAATCAAGTCAACTGGAACCTGATTCAAAAACATTTTAGATTGACTCCAGAATTTGGGCATTTAGTTAATATACTCTAGTTGTCTTGTATTTCAGGTAGAAGGTGTCCAGTCTATTGGGGGCACTGGAGCGATAAGAATCTGTGCAGACTTCTGTAAGAAGATGCTGGGTTACGATACAATGTACACGTCCAATCCAACATGGGGTAGGTATATAGTCATGATACCATGACATCTACATATCTGATCCCTGGGGTAGGTAGTCATCTAACATGTATGCTGATTCTTTGTGTCATTGATGATTATTGTAGACTTAGATCACAGAACATGATCATGATGTTTTATCAGATATGCATACACACATGTATATAAAAATATATCTACTAGTCTGGTAATTCTTTAGCCAGCAAGGCAGAATAAGTCAGAATTTTAGTTCCAAGATTTCCTCTTATAAATATGTATATGTTAGTGATGTCAAATCGGTGCTTAGGATATATCAAGGCTCATATTTTTAAAAACTAAACATTCATTTGAATGGCAACCAATTGAAGAACATCAAAATGTCAATTTAATGAATGGTATCTTTTTTGAGGTCATTATACATGTAATGATTTAACAATCCCAGGAGTACAATATTCACCAAGTCTTAAAGGAATATCAGCTGAATATTGTACTTCAAGAATGGCTAAATCATCTATATAGATTGACTGAAAAACAGCAGTAATTGTTTACGATTCAATGATTAATGCCTATCTCGCGAAAATAAGGTGTCGCAAAAGTTAGTGATCTACAGTATAATTGCTTCCTGATTATGTACAAGTTGTGCAGTATTTACATTGACAGACATTTTGACCCATACCTCTTGTTCATACGTCTATATGCTCTACCATCTTGTTTCATGCATATTATTTTATTGTAATTAAATTACAATAAAGTATGTTCAAATCATCATCATTACTTTTTTGAAGAATCAAAATATTTGTTTTGAATTTGTAGGTAATCATATGGGTATATTCAAAAGTTGTGGATATTCTAATGTCAAACAGTACAGATACTGGGACGCACAAAATCGCACCATTGACTTCAGTGGAATGATGGAAGACTTAAATGTAAAAATTGTGTACATTTTCTTTATTATTTTAATGAGATTCAAATGGAAATTGGCAAAACAAAAGATAGTTTAAGTATATTTAGTATTTTGATACTAGCAGATCATTGTTTGTATAAGTTTACCAGTATTAACTATTAACTAAAAACAGTAAAATATGCAAATATTTACACAAATCATTGAGCTGTGTGATTATAGCCTTGTTTAGCACATTGGTTCAATATAAATTGATACCTGAAATGTTGAAGCAGTATATGTATCTTGCAGGCAGCACCTGAGAAGTCGGTTGTGATATTCCATGGCTGTTGTCACAACCCTACAGGAATCAACCCGACAGCAGATCAATGGAAAGAAATAGCTGATTTAGTGGAGGTACAGGAAGTCTAAAGATGTGCTAAAGTAGACTTAAGTTTAAGACAATTTAATCATAGAATTTAGGGATAGAAATCAGTTGTGAATTAATGAGATCAGATTCAGAGAACATGTTTTATGATGTTTTATCAGATATGCATATATACACATGAATATAAATATATCTACTAATATTTCTTTAGCCAGCAAGGCAGAATAAGTCAGAATTTAAGTTCCAAGATTTCCTCTTGATATGTATACATGTACATGTAATCTAGATTGCTTCTTGTTCAGTTCATTATCAGTGAACTTATGGATGACAATTTAAAGATACACATGTACTTTGTGACACTGATTTTATACAAGATCAAGGTTGAAACAATTTAATTAAGACCAATAATATGTGAGGTCATCTATGATTCTGGCTGTTTTCCAGCTGTTTATGATGCTAAGTAGTTTCTAATTTTACTTTTACAGAAGAAGAAGTTTATGGTAATGCTGGATGAGGCATATCAAGGTTTCGCCTCCGGAAACCTGGAGCAGGACGGATCTGTAGCACGCTACTTTGTTAAAAGGGGATTTGAATTTTTTGTCTCACAATCATTTTCCAAAAACTTTGGATTATACAGTAAGTATTCATAAATTTTCAGTTTCAGTGCTCTTGCCGTATTTTCATAGTTTAAATAAATAAACTTTTTATATATAACAGTTTCATGTAGGTGTGCTGATTGAAAAATGTTATTTAAGAATTTATTCATCTGGTATACTTTGTACAATAAATGATAAATTATTTGATTTAGACTTACCTCTTTACTATTACAGATGAAAGAATAGGAAACTTAGCTATAATATGCGCAAATAAAGATGCAAAGCTCCGAGTGAAGTCTCAGATGGAGATGGTCGTCAGGACTACATGGTCAAATTCACCCAATCATGGAGCTAGAATTGTGGCATCAGTCCTCAATAACCCAGCATACTATGCAGAATGGTAAAAAAAACAATACGATTATTTACTGGTAGTCTGCAAGTAATTATTAAGATATCTGAAGAGTTTGCATGGCCTTAGTTTAATTGTTTTATATGAGTTGAATTGTTTGTTCCAAAGCATGTGTAAATAGCAGACAATAAATTATGCATTTCTAGGGAGTACTTCTTCTAAAAAGAGCTGTTTTTGCAGGAAAGAGCATGTGAAAACAATGTCAGATAGAATCAAGATGATGAGAGAGATGCTCTTCCAGAAACTGAAGTCCCTAGGCACACCCGGAAAATGGGATCACATTATCGAGCAGAAAGGGATGTTCAGCTTTACAGGGTTAAATCGTAAGTTAACAAATATCCTCCAGCTGGCCCTTGTTGTGTTAGCAAGAAAAGAATGATGATGATTCTTGTTTCTTTTTGGCATTTATTTGTTAATATGTCGTAAGAAAGATTAGATTGTCAGAAATTTGTAAGTCGATTAAAGTGAGGTCTTCGAAAATCATTTAGATAGATTCAGATTGAGCAGGAATGTATAGGCAGATCAAGTTGATAAGATGGAAAACTGATCTTTTTTTTTCTTCGTCAATTTATTTTGAGATTGCCTTGTTGTCTTTAAATTGGGTGGAGTTTTGGGAGGAGTATAAGAAACAAGAGAAATGATCATTTATCACAGAATCTTGCCAAAATCTTCATGTTTGTGCAATTTAGCATTTTAGTATCTAATATCATCATGCTTTAATTTAAACATTTAACTTGCACGTTAAAACTGTATAGTGCTGTATACATATACAGTGTGCTTTGAGAATATACTGCAATTTTGTTTGTAATTTTTTTATAAATATAACCTGAACTGAATGAAATATTTTATTTGCCTGTATATATATTGTATATTTGCCTCTATTTGCAGCTGGACAAGTTGACATTTTGATAAAGAAATACCACATCTACCTATTGAAGAATGGTCGCATCAATATGTGTGCTTTGACAACTGCAAATATGGAATATGTAGCTAATGCCATTCACTCAGCCATAACGGAATGCAAGCTTTGAAAAAAACTGAGATCTAGGAGGTCAAACAATGAGAAGATCTTGATTAATTAGTGGATGATCTTTCAATGTGATACAAAGAAAATATTTACATTATTCAATTTCATTTCTTTATGTCATGTTTAATTTAAAAGAATTAAGGACTGCATATATATCTACATGTACTTGTATGTATCGATAGGAAATCTATGTTAATATATCTTTTTCAGGACTTGAATATGATTGAATACAGTGCCAAATTTAATTTAAAGACCTCATCTTTGCTCTTTGCATGCTGTAATGATTTAATATTCTAGGAAATTTTATATCATATTCAGAAATGGTGATACAGATATGCAATACATGTAATTAGTATATCATATTAACTAAGCGTAGCTTATTCCATGCAAGCATGTGCATTAATACTCTGTATTGGCTTCAGTACAGTTTTTTTACTGGAATGTTTTTATTTTTTAAATGTTTGCTGATTTAAAAGAAAGCAGTGTAAAAGATACATTTACCATCTGCAAACATGAATGGCTATACAAAATATTACATACATATTGCTACAGATATATATCATTGCACTTAATATTTTTGTGTTACTTTGTTTTGAAGGTGCTTTATATAGAAAACTTTCATATTTATGATGTTTACTAACTATCTTTTTATTCTACTTAATATGAACTAACCTATTCAATTGGGGTTTAAAAAATTCAACTTTCCAACATTTTACATCTGCATGTGAACAGTAAATTATTGCTTACATCGCATCTTTAAACATCTTGATTAAGTTATACCTACATAAATACATGCTTTATATTTTAAAGCTGTTATGAATGTGAATGTTTACAGTCATTCTTTTATCATACAGTTAGGAAGAGTTATGTTAGCCAATCGTATAGTGTTGTTGATAATTTCAGTAGAGGGCTATTTTTATTTTTGTCTAGCTGTTTAAAGACAAATTTTGTTAATGTTGTACATTTTGTCAGCTTATTTGCATGTGCTGGTTTTGTACAGATCTAAAATGAATGAATTACTTCCAAATAAAATAGTGAGTACTGTTCAGTTCAGTAATTTATTAATTATTTTTCTTTGGGTTGGCAGTTATATTTTGATCACTTAAAAATAGCAAAATGGTATTGAATTGTATATACTATAGATTTGGGATGAAGTCCTTTTAAAAATTGTGTAGTCTAGTCCCCCCCCCCCCCTTCCCCATACACATAGTCACATACACACACACACACCCTCAAACACACAAATCTTTCACAGCATGTCAACAGTATTGAAAGTGGTGAGCACCATTCTTTGCATTGACTTTGGAGTAAGTGATAAAACACAATAACAATAATAAACTGTGACTACACCAGACATGGCAATGTATGCTCAAAGGTATGCAATATCCTTTATGGATTGTAGTTGCAAATGTTTGCTAAGATTTTGGCAATTTTAAATTTAGAATTTGTTGTCTTCTGTATAGGTTATCTGGATATTTATTAATAAATGACATAGTCTGTAAATAACTGGTATTAGATAAGCAAAAGCATGCAAAGATGTAGAAGTGTGGGTATTCAGGATTTTTTAAAAAATACCCTACCACTCTTCCCATGGGAAAAAATTACAATCTATGCATGTTTGGTTCAATCGAGGTAATTTTTTGTTTTTTGTGTGTACTAACTTGGATGAATATGTATGAAATATACAACTCCAGGTAGCATCCACTGTTAGCTCACTTGATTAAGCGGCTGATCAAATTACATTGTATTTACACTAAGTGCATTTAATTGCTCTATTTTATAAAGTTTCTGATTTTGACATAAAATATTTCTTTGATGACTGATAAACTTTTCCAATTTTTCACCATATTCTCTTGAAATATGCATAATACATATACAGTGCCATCAGAAGGATTATAATTATTCAAATTAATTCATGTACTGGTACACATGTATATAAGTATGTAAGTTGGGATCTATTAGAAAGGAGATAACTTAACAAGGAGTGCAAAGTGCCAATACATTATGTAGCTTCAAATGAATAAAAGCAGACCAGGAGCATTTATAGGCAATTACTATATCTAACAATATTTTCAATTTTATAAATCTTATTTCATAAAATACTTCATAAAAAACTTAAATCTATCTAATATGAAAAGAATTATTTACATGTTTATCAAGGTTTAAACTCCTGATTTAAATATAAGTACATTTTATCAATACATCAATAGACACATGCCCCTGATTAGCTTATTGGTGTACATGTATATAGATCTATAGGACGATCCTGATAAAAGTTGATGCAATTTGTGAATTTAGCATTTAAAGTAAAGATCTTATTAAAAGGTATGAAATTATAAAACAACAAAAATGCGGAAAATTCTCTAAGCAAAAATCATTCTATTAAAAAAACACCCCCCCCCCTTCTTTGAAGTTGAAGTGTTTATGCTATTTCTTTGTCAAAAAAAGTTCTGTCTTTGTGCAATTGGTGCAAATTGTAGAGATTTTACATAAATAATACATTATGCTAACTGAAAAAGGAAGTAATATTTTCATGTAGCAATGTGTCAGTAATCATTATTTGTTTATTTTTAGCAGCGACTATGACTTTGCTTTTCCTTTATTTAGTGCAACCTGTAAAAGTAGAACTCTCCGGTAAAAGAAACCAATAACGGTCCATTCTTGTTCCCGCGCTTTTGTCACCCTCCATTATTCATTTGTTATGGTTTGGGATATTTATTATTTAAGAAATTAAGACTAAGGAATCCAACTATTTCTAAAGGATGTTAGTTAAGCTTGGACTTTTACTTCCTGAGAAGTGTTATTTGGTAAGTGTATCAATCGTCAAATGATTCCCTACCTGTTAGAGTTGAGACATCGTGCATGATTGAAAGGGCGTAGGTCTACTATTATACACAATAGGATGTGTGAAATATCTGTGCTTTGAGACCACCCCACCCCCTTTAAAACTTTTCCTGACACTTTACACACATAACGTTCGTGTAGAGTGTACATGGAATCTGCACTGACCATATAGTTACTTCGTTCACTTTCTGTAAAAATTTTATTACACACAAAACGCAAGTGTAAATCGACGGCCGCTATCGGCCACCGTAGACTTAACATTGATGATTCAATGTAGTAAATTGCAATCAACCCAACATGTATATGTGCATATACCCATTTTTGGGAGACATGAATAACGGTAGGCTGATCTGCATTTGATGGGAGTTATCTCTCTTTGAACATGAACTGATAAATGTACATGTGTGATATATGTAATCGGGAAGTAGTAAATATTCTCCTAATTCACGTTGTTCATATAAATCAGACAGCAAATGATTTTATAAATGCCCCTGGATCAAAAGTTCCCAGGTATATTGTTTTTGTCCTGTTAGTCTGTCTGTCTGTTGTCAACTTTAACCCAGCCCTGTAAACTATTGAGTGTTTGGGGCTAAGACTTTCATATTTCACAAATAAATGTATTCCTTGTGAGAAGACCTTTCCATGAGTATCACCAAATTTACCTCTTGACCTTGGAGTTTGATCTACTTTTACAAAAAAAGAGCATACTTTATAACCTTGACCATAACTTTTGAACAGTTGGAGCTAGGGCTTTCATCTTACACGTGTTTAAAAACTTGAACCTTGGTCATAACTTTTGAACATTTAGATATAGGGCTTTTCATATTTCACAGGTGTATTCCTTGTAACAAGATCTTCCTTTGGGTACCAACACTTGACCTTTGACCTTGACCTTTGAAGTTTGACATGCATTTGAGAGAACTCAACCCTTGCCATAAGCTGCCATACAGGGGCATCAGTGTTTCACAAACACATCTTGTTTTTTGTGGGGGTTATTTAACTTATTTTCAAAGCCCTTTTATGGCACTTGTTTAAATCCTCTTGTTATTTGAGTTCTGCTAAAGAAAATTTGATCTGTTGCAGAAGGGATAGTTTCGTTATAAAAAAAAAAAAAGGTTGGTACTAAGGTTGCTCAATTAATATATTGATTTTCTGGTATATTGAAACCGGTGATAAAAAATACAGGTAAACTTCGGTATCTAGACATCGGATATGTCGACAACCTGGGATATGTCGACGTCCATCCGCGGTCCCGGCATTATTTACTATATAAATGATTTGCAAAAACTCTGATATGTCGACCTCGGTAATGTCGACTACCCCGCTTATCTCGACGTATTTCACAGTCCCAAAAGCAACATTTACCTGGTATATGTCGACATCGGGGCAATTTCCTGCTCTACTTAACCTAATTGTTTGTCAGCTGGTCGCTCGTCACGCACGGACGACTCCGTGTATCTCGACGTCAGCAGAAATTCACACCTTTCACACCCATGTTTTGTCTACATACTGCTCTGTAGAAATGTGTTTGTATAGGAATCCCAAGCCCCCTCGGCGTCTCTAATACGTTTAAAATTAAAATTGTTTAAAGTTCAGCTTGAATAATATCATGGATAAATCTTCTCGATTCTGCGTAAATGTAAAACAGTTTTTCATGCCGAAATCTAACAAAACTTAAACATTTTATTAAAAAAAGTTACAGAATAACAATGAACAATATACACATTGAATACAATTTAAGTTAAAAATTGTGGTAAAGGAATCAATCAAATCTACGGCATGCACGACTATTGCATCAGCCGTAATATGGGTGCATATGTTGTTAAATGCGCAGTTGCAATTAAATTTTGGTTTGAAAATAAAATGAAAGTTAATGATGAATGATTATGAAATAAAAAAGAAGTGAAATGAAATAATTTAAATATTATACGCATTAATTTTTTTCTGTTTCTCGGAAGTCGACTTTGTACCGGTCCAGTTTGGAGTTTATAGAGCGCATTTCGTATCCTGTTCTGACAGAGCTTGTGGCACGCGGATCGAATGCTGGATGGAAAACGGTTTTAAGTAAAATGATAAGATTTCGATAAAAAAAAGCATTTCATAAATAACTTTTATGAATAACTTCTTAGATTTTCTAATAAATATAAAAGGATAGCTGAAACAAACGAGCTACAGTTTAATTGAAGACATGTAGGTACCTGTACATAGGTACGTCTGTTCATGCCTATGTCATGTTATAGTATGAAGTAAAATTAAGGACGTTGAGTCTCAACTCTGATATCTCGACACCTCGGATATCTCGACATTTTCCGACTGTTTCGTCGATGTCGAGATAACGAAGTTTACCTGTATTGTATTGCAATACATTTTTCAGTGCAAATCTGCAAAAAATTCTTGCGCTGATGATTTCTAAGGTAAATATGAATTTTAAGAAGTCAAAAAGGTTTTCAATCATGCCAAACAGCAACGTGTGGCCACTGCTGTTGAATTTCATTGCAAAAGTACAGTGAAATCAACAGGACTTGTTTTGTTACAATGTATATGTAACAGTTACATAAACTCTGCTCATAAATGGAGGTTAATGATTAAAATAAGATTAAATTATTTAACTGTTATTGAAATGTTTGCAATACACTTGAATTTAATATTGCAGTATATCGCAATGTGAATTTCCCAGCTAAGGGAAAAATTGAAGATGAAAATGGAAATTTCATATGAAAGTGACTTGTGTATTGCAGGAATTGTGCTTTTAGTCTCCTTTTGGCATGATTTTATGATGAAGCATTTCTTTCCCCGTTTAAAGGATGACTCTCCATCAGTAATGTAGACCACGGTGTAGATATATGACCTTCATAACCGTGACCAGGGCACCAGCTGGTCATTACAGGCTTTTATTTTGTTTCTACTGCTGAGAGATGTGACGGTCTGGCCCACTGACCATCGTTTGACCTCTGACGGGAGTCTGTAGTTGTTTTTGTTTGATTAGGGAAGTCATGGTAATGGTCCTTGTCATAGGGATACTGAATACACAACTTTTGAAGTGCCCTGTACTGTCACCGGGACACTGTATACAGTAAACAGTCTCGGAAGAGTCCCCTATTGTCTTTTACCTAACACAGGTGGTCAGTTTTGCCATTTTTGCAGATTAGTAGAATTCTTATCAAAACTTTTTCTGATAGAAGTCTGTTTCGTCATATTGTGAACATCTGGTTGAAGTCTTATTTTAATTGCGTAGTTATGATAAGGCTGTCCGAAGGCTTAGAATGCCTTAAAAATATACATATTTAATTTGAGCTAGATTTTATTGCAGTCAACTTGAGATAATGGTTTAATCAGGTATTATAATAAAGCATTTATGTGATATCACATGACTGTGTTGATCAAGTGACGGACATTTATGTTATTCTTAAATGTTGCACAAAAATCGCTTAGGCACAACGAAGTGCAAAACAAAATTATTGTGTAAAGTTGGTTACAAGATCAATTCATCATGATCTCTGGTACATTAAAAGTGCTGGGGGCAGGTTTAATTTTTGCTTCTTAAGAAAATATTTAACGAGAAATTCAACTTACCAACATAAGAAGGGGTATTTTCCACTCTTTATTGCGATTTATACAAAAATGGATAAACTACATATGATCCCCCAGCAAAATTCAGTTAGAGGACATACTTCTCTTTTAGATTCACGCAGAATATCTTCAATTTATCCTTGTCTTTCACTTGTGCCAGTCAAAAATAAACAGGATTTATAAATTCTAATTCTGTCTACGGACGGTTACTGGGAGCGTTTCACATATACTAGCTTTTTCGCTTTTGTTTGAATATGTGCATATTGGACAAGCGAAAGCAAAAGCCTTAAAGGGATATCTATATTTCAAATGTTCAACATCATAACAGAACATGGAGCATAAAAACAATCCCAGCACTTGAATTAAACAACAACTCCCTCAAAAATCTACATGTCATGTGTTAAAATTTATATGACAATTTCCCCGTCATGTAAGCTCAAGTATGCAGTGACTTGACGTCATATTCTATTATGACTTCATATCTAGATAGTTCAGTTTGAATAGTTTGATATTTTACAGACAGCCTTATCCTAGCCGCGTGTTGCAGCATGATATTTTTTTTTTTAAATTATCTCATGTTTTACTGCTTTTACCTAACAGATCAACATCGAGAAACTGAAGAAAAAAAATATCGGTCAGACAGCCCAGTGTCTGATATGACCATTTGTTTCTGCTAACAAAATTTGAAACAAGTATAGATTTTTAAAAACGAAATCATTATTTAATTCTCTGTTGTACTAGTTTGAAGGTGTACTTTACCTGTCAAATTTCGACAGTGTCTGTAAGAAGCTGGATTACATTTCTGATAGCTGGCTCTGATAAACCATAAGTCACATACCTCTGAGAAAGTTCTACAGGTAGACTTTTCCGTGTTTTGTTATACTTTTCTCTGAATTGTTACAAATTGCTGAAAAATTAACAGAGCGTTGACTTTATGTATTTGAGTGTACATATGAGATGGCTTTGAGCAAGTGGAATCAAATATCAAAGATGAAATGGAAGTCAAACACGGAGAAGTATAATGGAAAAGGTGAAATTGATATTTGTGATGCATTGAGTTATTATGGCAGAAAAAAATATGATTAATTGTTGAGCATCACACAAAGCCATTGATAAGGGCATGGAATGGAAAAGGAAAAAAAAAAGTCCCCTAAAAAAACACTAGAGACTGTAGCTTTTGTCAATTGAAATTAAAATTTTTCTTGCCAGAGGTGAATGCCCTATTTATAAAGTTGATGTAGTAAATTAGGGACCCTCGTAGTATTTTAGAGTGCTTAATTATAAGTGTAAGCTGTATATATTAAAAAAGTGCACCTGATACCACTGTCATTAAGGTTAAATATTAAACATCCCACAGGCTCGTTTTGTGGGTCATGACTAAATGTTTAGGGGA